TGTTGCATTGTGGTAAACTGTGGTCAATGACATGAGACAAAGTATATGTGAACTGCTGTATGGAAAGTGAATTTGCTCTGTAAATCTTCATCCAAATCACAATTAAAAAACAATATATTATTTGATGGTTACCAGGGGTGTATAGCAAAGAGAGGATAAACCACTAACTAGAGGGTAGACACATATTAACTTGGGTGAAGGGGAAAATTTTTTTTAAAAAATTGAAAATAAATAAAACTTTTAATTAAAAAGACATATTCAAGTTAGATATTTCATGAAAGATTAGAGTCCTCCTATAAACTGAATATTCACTAGTATGTAGGTTTACTCTTCATTAAGGGAAATTCTCAAGTTTGTTTAAGAGTACTAAGTAAATCTTGTAATATTTAGGCAATTGCCTACAATCTAAAACAATGTTGAACTTCACTCTTCATTATCTTCCAACAAAATGCCCAGCATTGACCAATTCTTCTCTGCCAACTAGCAATTTTTGGCAGATCCCTTTTTGCATGATTCACGAAGGACCAGTGAAAGGCTTATTGTTCAAATTAATTTGCGTAAATGACTAAGCAAGAGATAACACTTGTAATTGTTTGGCAAAGATTCAGTAACAGCAGCCCTGTTCTGCCAGCTGCTTCCAAACAACACTCTTGCAAAAATTAAAAGCAACAAATATTAATTAGTACACTGTTTTGGTATGTTAATTTGCACTGAAAGTTTCCAGACTGCACAAAAAAAAACTTAAAAAATTAAAAAAAGAGAAATACTTGGTTGAATATCATGCAGGTATTAAGAACATTTTAAATGAATATTTCATTACCTAGGAAAGTACACTAATTATGCTCGACACTTTAGATAATAATAGTAATAATAATGAAATAATCCTAATAACTAATATTTATTCACCACTTACTATATTCGAGGCAGTGTTATGAGCACTTAAGTACATTTAATCCTTACAACTGACAAATTTAGGAGACGGTATAAACAGCAAGCTCTTAATCTTATGATTTGGTCTCAAGGAGGTTTACCAAAATTAGGATCTCATTATTTGTACAGTCTCTTAAATTTGTCAGTGTTTTAGTGTTGTTTTTTTTTTAAGTACTTTTTCTAATCAGAAGAATATTACACGCTTATAGAGAAATGGAAAATTAATACATGATTGATGATATCTGAGTTTTGAAATTGTGAATGATTTCATTTCTTTCCCTTTTATCTACTGGCATGGAATTTTTCGTAATCAGGAAAGAAATTAAACTTATGACTAAAGAACTGCAAAGGAGCTCTGGTGTCATAGTGTCTCTAAGGCACTTGACAGCTAACCAGAAGGATGGCGGTTCAAACCCACCAGCCATTCCTCGGAAGGAAGATTGGGGAATCTACTCCCATAGTGATACTGCCTTGGAAACCCAAGGAGGGGTTGCTATGAGTCGGGTCCAACTCAATGGCACATTACAACAACAAAGGACTGCAAAGGGCAATTTGTTATCATAATTCACATTGATCATGACCACATCTTTCAATGTCCCCCCACTTCCTCTCATCCTCTCAGAGTTCCCTGGACTTGAGCTGGGGCCAAAGGAATCTGGGTTTGGGGTTGGCTCTGCATTTCTGTACCTGGCCCTGAGCTAGAGCAGCCTGCAGGGCAACCAGAGGTAGGTGGCAGCACAGGACAGGTACGTCTGCAGCATAGCAGCTGACGGGGAGGCATTTGGGAAGAGGCCCTTCAATACCAGACTCAGCAGACACGCTGCATATTTGGATGTCTACACCCAGCTGTGGAGGAGGGCCCTGCATACCACAATGGCAGCAATGCAGTCCTCGGTGGTCTCCTCCACGGTGCACTTTAAGATGCCACCACTCACAGCACTCCAATTGTCACACTTGGCCTTCTCATGATTGCCCACTGCACACCACTGCACCTGCTTGGTGTCGTATGTACCTAGGATAGGTGGAAAAGAGACACAATCCTAAAGAAGCACCAAAATGGAACTGGATGCTTAATGCCACTGTGGAGTAGCTGCCCTCCCGCAGACCCTCACTAATAGCCATTGGGTTGGACATTCGCATTCCCATGACATACTCTTTCATGCCCACTCCTCCAGGAGAAATGAGGAACAAGTGCAGTAAAGCAGAGCTCCTGACCACACATCCCCAGGGGAGGCCACCCTGAGCACCAGGCCAGCTCAGGGCTTTCTGGGGTTTTCTCTTTCAGGACTGAGTTCTCCCATTCAGGGAGCAGTCCTCAGTTAGCAGTCATGTGTTTTGTTTTGTTGGGGCCTGCTGGCCCTCCCCTCAATGCTCCACCTCACCACCGTATGCTCACATATAACACCAGCTGGCCTTTGCAGATGCTCTATAACTGCTGGTTAACTGAAAGAGAGGGAGTCCTGTGGTACAGTGGTTAAGCACTCAGCTGGTAACTGAAAGGGATGAGGGAAGGGAGAAGAAGGAGAAAAGGAAGGGTGAAATGAACCTTAGGGAGCTAATGGAAGGCAGGAGTGGATCAAAATCCTCTGAAAGTGCAGTTCAACTCCTGATGGTGGTGGTGGCCATATTCCCACTTTAGTTTAGGATGGGCTATTTCACCGTCTTTAGGTCAAATAGGTCTGTGTTGTGTGAGGCAGTCCTAGATGATACAAAGAAGCTGGCAGCATCATCACTTCAAGCTATCTGTAATCTAAAGGTCTTCAAAACCCTTTTGTGATCTCATAATTTAGGTCTTTCTGACTCGTCGGCACATTATAACAACAACCACCTAGCTCAGTAGGAAACCCCAATATGAACCCAATGTAATCAGTAGTTCCTTGAGCCCCACAGACTGACAAAGGCTGGATGAGGGATGTTAGCATCTAGAAAGCCTCAATCAATTGTCCCTACCCCACCCCATTTCCCAAGTTCTACAGGTCCCTCCAGGACTTTACACACCTGTCCTTAGATTCTTAATGGCAGTGATTTGCTCAGATCCCAGGTACAGCCAAGAGTCCATCTTAGGGGGGATCTTTAGAAAACCATGGGCAGCGTCTGTGAACAGCAGGTCCTTCCCATAAGGAGAGTCAAAGAGTTGGAATTCTGCTGACTTGTCTTTTCCAAAATATTCCTGTTCAAAGGATTGGGGGGGGGGAGATGAAGAGTAGAGAAGGGTAAATGTTAGACAAGGAAAGCAGAAAGGGAGAAAACTACAAGAGCCCAAGAGTGAAGGCACTGATCAAGGCCCTCTGAAGTCTCAGTGGCTCATGGTGTTCTCAAGTCTCTCTCCCAGACAAATCCTACTGTGTCCACCTTGTGCAGCCTCAGGAAAAGTGCCAGGGCAATCCCCTAGACCTATACAAAGGGGTCTGGGAATCACGTGTGTCAGGCAGCTGGCCCTCTCCCATGCCAGACTGCTGCTTTGCACCTCCCTGGGCAGTGGAATGGTGGTCTTCCTCCTGGAGCCACTGGTGCTCCAGAAATGTCCCCCTGGGGCTGAAGGTCAGGAGCCAGGGTCTCCTCTCCCATCCTGGGCCTGCCACTGAAGGATCAGCTGAAACACTTCAAGAGTCTCTTCCCTTTTTGGCCACTTCAGAGCCATTCCTGACTGATGGTGGCAATCTTTCAAATGCCCATCTGCCTTTGCAGTGCCTGAGTGAAAAGGAACCTGCTATCCTCCCTGGTAACTGCTTCCCCCACCCACCCACCCACCCACACACACACTTCCTTGAGGTACAGAAGGCTTACTCAGGGCTCAGGAATCTCCCCAGAGAGCCCAAGCAAATCAATTCCTCTGTCCTCTGTAAAGTGCCTGATCCATATCCCCAAGGCTGTACTGATTTCACCTGGTAGTAATTCATACAGGCACTAATTGTGTCTCCCACACTCGTCTGTGAGGACTAGAGAACAAGTATTTGTCAGATTCACATCTGACTCCAGCAATAAGCAGGGGGCACTGACAGACACGGTGTGCTGATGTACAGAGGCTGTCAGGAGGAGACAATGCTCATGCTTGGGGGACCTGGCTCTAGGCGGGTGGTCATGAGGGTGGGAACATATGAGATAATGGGGAGCACTTCCTGGAGGGGAGCATCTGTGCTGTAATCTAAAGAACCAATTTAGAATTGAAAAGTTGGAAATGGGGCAATGAGAAGCCTCTGCAGAGAGTCTTTGGCCCACTAGGTTGGTAATGCCCAAAAGGGTTTCACGGCTTCTGCCATCTATAATATTTATAGCCTGAGTGGCTTGTCAGTGAAGTGAGTGATGTATGCCCTGGTTCCTACTGTGCCCCAAACTCAGAAAAACTTGTAGAGTGACAAGAGCCCTCAAATCCAAGCAGGGACCATGCAGCAGGAGGGGAGGACAGCAAATGGGTAGATGGAGATACCTGTGCCTTACTGAGCAGCTCCCAGATCAAGTCCTCCTTGCCATCTGCACTTCGGGCCACGACAGCGTGAGAAGGTACCCAGGCCAGGTAGCATTCCTTGTATGCATCCACAGGCTTCCGGGTGTTGTCTGGACAAAGCAGCTCAAACAAGTCCTTTTGGAACTTGTCCAAGTTCTCTGGGAAAGAGAAAGCCCAGTTGAGTTTCTGCAGGCAGAAACCATGAGCTGTGGTTCCTTGCTCCTCACTGAATCACACTATTTTTGACCTGAAGAGGACTGACAGGGAATCTTTTCTAGACACTTATACTGATGAAGAACCTGGGGCCTTGGAAGATGAAATGGCAGGTTCACTACCTCATATCCAGATAGACGTGGGATTGAGGTGTATGCCTGACCCAGGATCCCTGCAACTGCCCCTTGTCTCTGTGGCTCTGCTAATATGAACGATGATGGCAAACATTTACTGACCACTCATGACACACCAGAGACAGTGCTGAGGACACTGTTTCATTCAATCCTCCCAACAACTCAAGGAGGCTAGTAACATGATTGTATCATTCTAGAGATGAGGAAACTGAGGCTCAGAGAGTTAACATAATTTATCAAAGTCTCAGTCTGGGATTGATATGCCACCACACCAGAACAAACCAGCCCCCCCCCCCATCAAAGTAGCAATACTCCCCTGGGGGCTGAGTCCTGCTGGGAAAAGGTCATGGGAGGGTTGAGGGGTAGAAAGAGGCCTAAGGGCCCAGTCAGGGCACTCTGCAGGTACAAAAAGGGCAAGACTTCCTGTGAGGAAAACTAGCTCTTTAGCTTCCATGGTATTACAAGGTCTTTGAGGTTGATAAAATCTCATTTTAAAAGACAATTGGTACAACTAGAGTTCCTGTGAATGATTAAAATTTTAGTAAGGTGTGCTATTGTTGTTGTTGTTATTTGCCACAGAGAAAATAAATTTAATATATTTATATTTACAAGAAAAAAATTAAACAATGTGTTAGGAGCTCAATGTGTTAGGTGGCGTAGTGCCTAAGGCATTTGACTGCTAACCAGAAGGTTGGAGCTTCAAACCCACCAGCCACTCCTTGGGAGGAAGACTGGACAATCTACTTCTGTAGAGATAACACCTTGGAAACCCAAGGAAAGGGCGTTCTGAGTCAGGAATGACTCAATGGCAGTGAGTGTGGTTTGGTTTTTGGTAGTAATGTTAGAATTAAATTAAAAGAATCAATAGGGTGAGCTGTTGTATGGAAAATGAATTTGCTCTGTAAACTTTCACCCAAATCACAATAAAAATTAAAAAAAAAAAAAAAGAAAAAGAAAGAAAATCAGTTGGATCTAATGGCTTCAGAAGAAATAAATTTTCCACTTAAGTTACCAAGGGCCCAAGCAGTGGCAGGAGCAGACCTTTGCTGACACCAGCACACATTCTCAACCCTAAAACCCAGTGTATAGTCTCTCATAAAACCCTCCTTTGAAGGCAATAGGGGATCTTGTATAATAGTAGACAAGTGATTTCAGATTGTTTTGGTTTTGTCTTTTTCAAATATAGAAATAAAGAAAAAATACATTTATGTCTATGGTAATAGTACTTTTGTAACAGATTTCATTGTAGATGTGCTAAGAAGTTCTGAAATCATTACAATAATTTGTGTGCTTGCTTTAAGTGTTTGAAGCATTTAGATAATGAAGCATTCAGGAGAATGAGATTAAATTTAAAACTAATATTTCAGTGATAAAGAATATTTGATTATTAGAACTTGTTTTGCTTTATTATTTGGTAAGTTATAGCTGTATGTTCAGAAAATTTGCTTACTGGGGTCAAATATTATTGGAGGTCAACAATTATGGGTCAAATAAATTAAGCACTAAGTAAAGTGCAAACAACAGAAACGTTATTTACACAAAAATTCTCCTGTGATATTAAAGACCTTGACATTACTCATCTCTAGATGTAAGAAAACTTTCAGGAAAGAACAAGAGCTCCACATGATCTTCTTCCCAGCACTTACCCAACAGTGATATGTGTCTCACAAAACACACATCCCCAACACCATCCATCAGACACCTGTGGAACAGGAGAGATACGTTGGCCACCCACCACCTGCACAGCCCTGCCCCACCCTCAGGCAGACCCTCTGAGAATATGCCATGACCCAGGGCTCTCAGGGCTCTGATCACAGTTTCTCAGGCATCAGTCTGTCCTTACAGAGGTGATAGCCTTGCCTGAGGGGCTGGCCTTGAACCCCCCAGCCAAGCCCAGGCCTGAAGCAAACAAGACCCATGGAAGCTGACATCCCAGGCAACTCTGGGGAGGGCTGTTGCAAAAGAAGGGCCCACTTTCCTCTTCAAAGATAGCAAAAAACAATATATATGTTTTTGTTTTTTTTTTTAAATAAAAGTCTAAAGACTTTATATGGAAGATAAAGACTTTGGATAGCCTTGGAGCCTCAGCCAGTTTCACTTTGGTTTGGGGCAGCAGCCATTTATCTTATGGAGAATGGAGAATGAGAGAGGCCTACAGAAGTCTGAGGGGGAGGTGGTGAAAGGCAGACACCTATTCCTGCTACGTGGAGATGCTTAGGGAGAAAGACATGGGGGGGGGATGGGGGATGAGGGTTCTGGTCTTTGGCCCATCCAGGAGCCCAGGAGTGTGTCAGCAGATGTCAGAGTCCCAGAGTGGTCTGTCCCCTCAGCCCTCCCTGTTCCAGGAGCATAATAAGGGCATTCTCTGGGGAGACAAGGGAGCCCCTATAAAGAAGACTGCTCCTCGAGATGGTTAGTGAGGGCTGGCCATGGGAGGGACTCAGGACCCTGGGTTTCACACTGACACTCTAGGGGTCTAGGGTAGGCCTGTTTACTCCCAATGCATTTGTCCCCCATCTTCAGAATGAGAAGGTGCAGCAAATGGTATCACTCACTTGAAGGCGCCTGAGTAGCCAAAGTATGGTTCCTGGGAGTTACAGGCACACTTGGCTGTCCTTGTCCCCGCACACAGCTGACACAGGTTGGGGAACATTTTCGGATCTGCACAGGGGACACAGCTGCCCGAGAAGAACTTGGACACAGCTGCTCAACACAGAGAAATGGACCACATGCACAAGCTGGCTCTGTGCTGTGCATGTGAGTGAGTGGGGTGGCCACGAGTCTACAGTCCCTCCAAGACTGTTCTAAGGAAGCAAGTATGCCCAGGCTAGCCATGTACAGCCTGTCAGAGGTGGTTGACAATACCTGTGCTTCGAGGAGTGGGTGGCCCGGCCTCTGTGTACTCAGACATCACACTCATGTGTGGGCCAAGGCTAAGACCATGAGAATGTTTCCCTAGCTTGTCTGTTCCAAGTACAAGAGCTACTGACACTGAACCAAAACTGCAGCCCCAGAGACAATCACCTCTGTTAACTCACCAGCATGGAAGCTCTAGAGAGGCCACACAGAACTCTAAACACCTGGCAGGTCAACCAACCTCTGACAGCCCTTCCTTACCTCAGGACCCAGTTTCTCCTAGCCCCACCCACTTCCTCTGCATCAAAAGGTTATGGTGTCTCATTGGGAAGCCCTCTTCTGGGAACCAATGGAGTCGGTGGAGGTCATACCAACAGCCCCCACATATCTCCCCAGACAGCTGTCCAGCAGTGTCTGACTCTGAGACAAGCAGGAACTCCAAGACAGGCCAGGGAATGCATGGCCTCAGAGCTGTGGCCCAGGCTGCAGCTTGCCATCCAATGCCAGCAAGCCCTTATCCCTAACACAGTCAAAACACAATTGCTGCAGAAGTTGGCAGGGCTCCAAAGAGTGCACGTCTGTGGGGAACACAGGATTTGGCTATCACCTTTCAAGGGCTGACAATACACCTAAGGCTCATGTTGGCTATTTCAACTGAACAAGAAGACAAGAGTACATAACCAATCACAGCTACAGTCCACTCGTCCCTTCATTGTTGGTGTTTGATAACACGGCCCAAGTCACTGAGGACTGACTCCAGGCCGGTGGCTATAATCCCTTAGTGAGCTTTCTGGAAAGCTGGAGGGAAGGTCTCCTTCTTAGTGGGCCTCAACGGAGGCTTTGGCCAAATCAAGCTGCTGGAGTTACCATGTGTGTGGTGCTGTCAGGAGCTCAGAGAGACAAAGGTATCTTTGTTGAGAGAAGAAAAGACTTCCAGCTCCCAAGGAAACCCTCCCTTGGGTTTCAAGCTTGAATCTTACTCTTCCCTGATCCCCCAGAATTCACTTACAGTGACTGTGTGGCCCCAAAGTGACCTGTGTGGGCAACTGGAATAGAGATGACTGCCTAAATGAATCCACCCCCTGCCAGCTTACCACTCTCAACTGGCACATGTGGCTTTGGCAAGTCATAGAGAAGTAAGTTGATGGGAACATTCCAGCCAGCAGCACTGTTCAGGCCTGTGTGGCAGGCCTTCTTGCCTTGGAGCTGGTTCAGCTGGAAACCACTGCCCTTCCGTGCCACAGCTACAGCATAATAGTGGGTTTTTAGATCTGCTAAGGGGCAGAGAGAAAGGAAAAGCAAAAGGAAGATGCCACATCATCATTACTAACATTCCAGAGTGTATGCAATGGGAAACTTTGGGGAGAGGCTCCTAGGACCCGCACCAAATCCCCTGGCAAACAGACAGAAAAGGGAATGAAAAGCATCCTTGATTTACAAGAGAGAGAAAAACTGTCCCTTTTCAAGGTAATAAAACTAGCTTCTTTTCTGCCAGCTGCTCCAAGCCAGTGAGGAGACAAGCCTTATAGGACATTCTTAAGGAGACCTTTAGCTCCAGGTTATTGTGATGTTACTCTATACCCCCAAGAGCTTTGCACCCTTCTCTACTTCTCTGTCTGCAGCCCAGACAGAAGGAGAAAGTGTGAGGAGAAGGATGCAGGAGCATCTCCAGGATTTTGCCAGGGCCCTGCAAGTTGGAGTCAAATGGAGGCAGGCTGTGTTCCCACCAGATGACACTAATGAAAAAGTGTGGGAAGGAGGCAAAGCCACATTCTCAGACTCCCCCAGAATCTCCCCACACAACAAGACACAGGCCCTGGGTTCTGTGGCACCTGCAGGGGACTTAGCAGAGGGAATAGGTTGTCAGAGCTCCTGTGTGTCTCCAGAGATAGGCATCCCATTGGTGCAACCCGACTGGTAATGGACTCTAGACAGCACCTCCCCTCACAGACTTGGGTACCCCCCATCCAGCAACACCAACAGCATGTCTGTCAGGTGCACAAAGTTCACAGCTTCCCAGGGAGAATCAATACCTTAGCCCTCATGGGTCAACATAAGTGATCACCTTATTCAATCCATCAATTTTGTTCCTTTCAAGTGTAAGCCACCCCCAAGACCCTGCCTCCCACCATGACTTCAGTCTCAGCACAGACATCTGCGTCCCCCGGGAGAACTTACTGTTTTTTGACCTATAGAACTCTGCTACGACAGGTTTCAGGTTTCGGGGGGGCAGGCCTGCCTCATACACCCAGCCTGCATCGAGAGTCACAGCATCTGCTTGGTTTGTCTGGAAGAGACCAGACCAGACCATGAAGCCCCTCCCCTCTGAAGAACACAGGCCTAAGTTCCCTGCCAGGAATACTTGCCTCATAGATACTTGCATGACTCAGATCTCCCTTACCTCCTTCATGTCTTTGCTCAAATGTCCCTTCTCAGTGAGTCCTTCCTGGACGACACTCTTAAAACTAACACGTCCTAAGGTTGGACACTGGGAAGAGGTAACTATGGGGAGGAAGTGGGAGGGGAGCTGTTGCATTGTGGTAAACTATGGTCAATGACATGAGACAAAGTATATATGAACTGCTGTATGGAAAGTGAATTTGCTCTGTAAATCTTCACCCAAATCACAATAATAATAATAATAATAAACCTAACACCTCCTACACTATGGATGTCCCCTTTTTTTTCTCCTTAGTCTTATTACCATCTCACAAACTTTCTTTCTTTCTTTATTGTTTGCCTTCCCCATTAGAATGTAAGCTCCGTGTAAGTTGGGACTTTTTTGTCTGTTTTACTCATTGCTGAATCCTAGCACCTAGAAGACCAGCACTAGTAGGTGCTCAATAAATGTTTGTTGAATAAGTGAATGAATGAATTATAGAATATTTCCATCCATAAGACGTCATCTAATCCACTCCCAGATTTGGATTCCACTAAATTGATTTGTTGGCCTTCTTGCAAGGAGCACAACCTAATAGCCTCTTCTCAGAAATGAGGTTGGATTTTTCTAAACTTGGCACTGTTTCTATATACTTGACTCCCTTTTCCCAATCTCATTTTACAATATCTATCTATCTATCTATCTGCCTGTCTATCTATCTAATCTATCCATTACTTACCTATCTACCTACTCTATTGGTTGCTTGTATCAGAAACCAACTGGAATTGCTGTTGTTGTTAGCTGCCATCAAGTCATTTCCAACTTGTAGTGACCTTATGTACAACAGAACGAAATACTGCCTGGTCCTGCACCATCCTCACAATCTTTGCCATGCCTGAACCCATTGCAGCCACTGTTTCAATCCATCTCATTGTGGATTTTCACTAACCCTCCACTTTACCAAGCATGATATCCTTCTCCAGGACTGGTCTTTTCTGACAATATGACCAAAGTAGGAAGACAAAGTCTGGCTATTTTCACTTCTAAGTAGCATTCCAGCTGCACTTCTTACTAGACAGATTTGTTCATTCTTCTGGCAGTGCATGGTATTTTCAATATTTTTGCCAATGCCACAATTCAAATGCATCAATTCTCCTTTGGTCTTCCTTATTCATTGTCCAGCTTTGGTATGCATATGAGGCTATTGAAAATACCATGGCTTAGGTTAGACACACCTTAGTCTACAAAGTGACATATTTGTTCTTAACACTTTAAAGAGGTCTTTTGCAGCAGAGATCTACAGTGCAATACATAGTTTGATTTCTTGACTACTACTTCCATGGGCATTGATTATGGATCCAAGTAAAATGAAATTCCTGACTTCAATCTTTTCTCCATTTATCATGATATTGCTTATTAGTCCAGCTGTGAGGATTTTTGTTTTCTTTATGGTGAGGTGTGATCCATACTAAAAACTGCAGTGTTTGATCTCTATCAGTAAGTGCTTCAAATCTTCTTCACTTTTAGCATGCAACATTGTGTCATCTGCATATTGTTGCTGTTGTTATGTGCCGTTGAGTAGGACCCAACTCATAGAAACCCCTTCTTGGGTTTCCAAGGTGGTATCACTACAGAAGTAGATTGCCCAACCTTCCTTCTGAGGAGTGGCTGGTGGGTTTGAACCACCAGCCTTATGGTTAGCAGTCAAGTCCCTTAG